AGCTGCTCAGAAATGTTAAAATACACATTCACCTTCGTTATCCTCCAGCCGCATTGCCTGACTCATCCCGCTGCTGTCGCTCTGAAACGGGAACCCAAGTTACAAACTTTCCCGACTTCTTGGTTTTTTATGCAGCCGGGAAGCCCATGTCTAACCGGCCGAGAGCGCGGTGGAAGCCATAACGACATCTGTCTTCATGGGAGGCACGCGAAAGGGAACCTGAAAAAAAGGGAGAGAAAACAAAAGAGGCACCGGCTGGTTGGAAGAGTGTTATTTCGCATTGCCAGTCTGACACAGGATGCTTTCTCGCATCGGCGCAGCTAGTGCTAGCGTAACCCGGTTGGGACATGGCCCCCCAACCCCCGTGTGCCAATGGTATTTCCTCCTCTTTTTCCACAAAAACCACAGAAAAGCGCCAGGCAGCCATGGCTTAGCAGCCGTGGCCTCGCGGCAGGCTTTGGCTGGGGTCCCAGCCCTAACTCAACCCCTTCTTCTGGAAACCTGGCAGCCTAAGCCCACCTCATCCAAGCCGGTAACTTTCTCCTTTGCTTTTATACACAGGCGTGATCTCGCCAGGCGCTGCTTTTAGCTGCAAGAAAATTTCTCCCTCTTAATGTTTTGTTCTTAAAGACTGCTTTCCCTGGCTAAACATCCTTTGCTTTAAATAGATGGGGTGACCCAGATACTATTGTGAATGATTATTCGAGGATGAAGTACAGACTCTACTCCAATGATTTTTACAAGACAACTTAAATCAATACGATCTTTCTGATTAGTAGTTTCTAGAAAACCTGTATGCTACATCATCCCTATTATATTCATCATCCGGCTCACTTTTGCTATATTTGTTCATGCAGCACATTATCAAGCATCTGAAGCGTTGCCTCTGTCGTCCTCTGGACTGTGCTGATTTCTTCTGGAACAAAGTGTAGCTTAGAAATCCTCCGCTGTGGATTTTTGTAAAGAATATTTTACAGTAAGCCACTTGTTACTAATGAGCCTAATTTTACTTGTGCAACTCTTTTTATAACCTTTACTCTTAAAAAAAAAATTGGGAAAATTTACAATGGTAATTGAAGTGTTTATTAACTGATGGCCTACTTGCAAGATTCAACTGAAGACAGCATTGCAATTTGGGCCATTTTTCAGCTTTGTGTAGGAAAAATGTAACTGCAAGTGTGGAAGCCAACATTTTTCACAGCACACCTCTGAATATTCTTTTTTATTGCAGACTGTCTACTGTAGTATAGCAATAATTTCAAGAGAAAGCTACTAAAAGCCTGACATCTAAATCTAATTTAAAGTCTAAATGATGCACATGATTAAAAATGTATTATCTATTCCCAGCAAATCAGTATCATTGAAACACTAATGTTTCCCTAATTTTAAGCACCATCTAGTGAGTCAAACATTAGATCTGATCTTCCAAATTACGGCTGAGAAAAATAAGATCATGGCTTGACTGCATCCCACCTAGTGCTAGGTCTCTTCCTGAGATTCATGTTAGCTGTTTAGTCATGGTCTGCTCTCTTGCTAATGGACATTAAATATTCCTCCCAAGGCGCCGAAGACCCAAGCTGCCGCCTAGAGATAATTTGTCTGTTGACAAAGGAGGGTGCCGGCTGAGTAGGCTCCCTAGTTAGACAAAGCTAACTGCCTAAAAGTGGAGCAGGGAGAAACCTCATTTCGATAATGATAATCTTTTTTTGTCACTCCAGAGCAAGAGACTGGAAAGGATGTGGCTTTATTTCAATTATAAGTGAAAGAAAAAAAATCTCCGGGCAAATAAACAGCTTTATAAGGAGCATGATTCTTACTATTTCTATTAGCCGGCTTGCCATGAAGATGGAGTAGGTCTGAGAGGGAAACGCACAGGAAATCTGCATACAATTACGGGACCTGCTGCTCTGGCAGGGGTATTAAATCAGTTCAGTTAAATCCGCACCAGCTCCTGTGGCAGCGCGCTGTAACCGGCTGGCAGTACAGAATTGGTGCGGAGAGCAAGCGATGCTCGGCCGGTTCGGTTAACGGGGCATCGCCCCGGGCACAGGCACGGCCGTTCCGTCTGAGCCCCTTTTGGCCTCTCTGAAGTCACGGTGCTTGCCGTCGGGGCTGTGCTGGTACTTTTTACGCCTGCCAGCAAAACCTGGGCAAGCCTGGGCAGCATCTCGCCTGGCCTCGCTGAAGGAGAGGAAAAGGCACGTTGCCTTTGCCTGGGAGTGCATCACTTGATGGGGGTAGTGCATTTTGGGGGCTGCTGGCAAGACCCGCCGTTGCCCAAGCCACATCTTTGACCCTTTTCTGGTACATCTGGATGCGGGGGGGGAGTAGGATTTAATTATGTGTCCTCCATCCCAGCTTCTATGGCTTACCAGCATACGCAAAGCACTTTTTCAGCAGCACAGGGGTGTGGGGAGGCCGGCTGTTGACCATGGCTCAACAGCAGAAGACAAGTCCAGTTTCGGTGCATTGGGTGGGCGTCCCGTGCCGAGGGTCTCTCCGGGTGGTGGGTTCCCAGCTGCCTGCCCAGCCAGTGGATCACCTCTGATGATCATGAGTCTTCACACCACGAGGAAGGCTGAGGACCTGGCCCGGGCTCCAGAGACCTCTCCGCTGTTGTATTTTTGGGGTTTCTGCCCACTCCTCTCCAAGCATCACTTCCCGGCTGTGTCACCTCCCAGCTTTCCGCCTCAGAGCAATCGTGGCAGCACAGGCGAAGGGCTGATGGAGGAGGAGGACTGTTGGTGAAGAGGAAGGGGTGCCATGACTTGCTTATGCCAAAACTGCTGCCGAAATGCTCCTCGAGCTCAATCCTGCGCTGAAGACACAGCCCCCGTGCTCACCGCTCCATCTCCTGGGGAAGGGCGATGGCTGTTTTGAAACAGCGGAGGTTTATCTGCGCCTCGTGTTACTGAAATCTGGTACCTTGTGGGGTTAAACTGGGGAAAGCAGTATCTTTAGGAGTGGGAGCGTTTAAGGCCTGGTCCCTCATGACCAGCGTGCATGACTGCCGAGGGGTGACAGGGTCTCTGGTTTGTCCAAAACACGAAAAGCATCAAACCAGAAGCTTGGACTCAATGGTACAGCTTTGCTAACAACATCTGAAATACTTCAGAGCTGCCTCAACTTGGACATAGGCAAAGCCACTGGGAAAGAGAAACAAGGCATCCCTGTCCTCCCTGGTCCCCACTGCCCATACACGTCATTTTGCTAGCAAGGGGCAAGATTTTTTAGCAAGATCCTGATTTATGGTCTATAATGTCATGATGGAAAGTGGATTCAAGCAGGAAATCAATTTCCAGAGCTATACGGCAATGAAGAATGACATTTTTGGAGTCCCTCCCCACAAACAGAGCAGAGTATGTGTAGGTATTGGTCTGCTTAGCAAGACGGTTTAAGCTCACTGGAACAGTCCCGCAGCATGCACGACCCACATCAGGATCCAGTCAGCTCCCAAACACCCCTCGATTACAGAGGTGAGCCAGAATTTCATGACATCACATAAATACACATAAGCAAATACAGTAAAAAGGCCTTACCTTTGGCTTGAGCAAAAGGTGAAATTTTCCAGTCCTGTGGGATCCTCCTCTGCCCCCAAGTCTGCTGGCTTACGATGCAGTAAAATGGTCTGGCATTTATCAACCCTGTCAAGGTTTGCAAGTCCCGAGTGTGTTTGATTTGGAAAGAAAAGTGTCAGGAGGACATTCCTGAACACCTCCACCCAGAGTTACGCAGGGAAGAAAAGAAAAATAAAAGCAAGGTTTAAGAGGTCAGAATGTGTAGCCTGCCCAGAGCTACTATTCCTGGTAGAAATTAGACCCTGAAGGGCCCGGGTGAAAATCAGGGATAATCCCCGTATACGTGCTTCTAATTGGGACAAACTGAAAGTGAGAAAGCTGAGGGAGTCAGCTCCGGCCCATCCCCAGGGGCTCCGGGTTTGTTCCCAGCTGGTAACCGAGAGCACAATTATGCAAAGCCTCCTCTATAAACAGATTTCGGTTTATTACAGCCAAACCGTGGGATTCTATTTTTGTCACTGCTTTGTGCGAATGCCTTCTTATCCTTGTGATTTCCAGCCAGGTCGTTCCAAGTCAGCTGCTTTGGCCGCAGCTGTCAGTGGAAGCTCGTCCGTCTGTCCGTCCGTCCGTCCACCCGGTCCTTGGCCCCTTCGCTTGCCCGCCTGGGGTCGGCTTGGGGCAGGGGGACGAGGGGATGCGCCTGGGGCTATTCTGGTCGCTCTGAGTTATGGCAGTGTCATGTGAAGCAAAGAGCCCAGAAATGCATGTCAAATCGAACCAGTGACTAATCACGGTATTTTAGTTGTCTGGGTGCCTGCTGGGCAAAGAGTCATGGGCTTGGGAAATCTTCACGTAGTAATCCCTGGGCACTGAGTTGATCTTTGGCTGAGGCTTCCTAAGAGCATGCAAAAAGAGGACGGAAAGGGGGCTGCTGCCCCGGGGGCAGCCGGGTCTAAACTTATCTGAGTTTGAAACAGAAACAAGAGAGGAGAAAAGCCAGCGGTCCCTTCTCGCCTGCGTCTGCTCGCAGCCATGCGCTGGCAGCCAGAGAGGATCTATTTGCTCTGCCTGCGGAGCAAGAAGGGTCGCGGGCGACGGCTGAGCAGCCACTAAGTGTCATTTGCTGGGATTGTCGTCTAGCTCCATCATCTGTCACCCGATGGCCAGCCAAGCGAGTGCTCGGCACAAGCGTGGACCATTCATCCTTGCACAAGCGATGGAGGCGAGAAAAGTAAGCATCCTACAGCTGTTACTACATTCAGCTGTTTTTCCTATAAAGGAATGCATTGAATTCACTACAAATCTACTAACTGTCCCCCTATGCCAGGCAAAGGACTGATTCCTTTTTTTTTTTTGGTTAGGCTTTTCTCTAACAGCTGGAGGTCTGCTGGGCATTCAAGCAATGGCTGTTGAGTAGGGCAGCTGTTTCAATATCTAATTGCATTTTAGTTTTAATAACTGAAGGGGAAAGCGTTGCCTACCATGAGCTACTTCCTATCCTACTGCAAAGCGCACTGCACCGCCGTGCTCGGCCAGTACCAGACACTGAGATCAGAGGGCTTTCTGTGCGATATTTTGCTGAAAGTGAAGGAGAACGAGTTTCCTGCACACAAGTCCTTGTTGGCATGCTCCAGTGACTACTTCCGAGCCATGTTCAAAAGTTACACCCAAGAGTCTAACGCCAGTGTAATTCATCTGCAAGTTGTGTCACCCACCGGTCTCCAGCATGTCCTGGATTTCATTTACACTTCCCTGTTGCCCCTTTCCTTTGAAAGCCTGGAGGACACCTTGGAAGCTGCAAGCTACTTGCAAGTGACCGATGCGATTGGCTTGTGCAATCAGTACTTGGTTAACAATCTTGCCTTGGAAAACTGCTGCTTCTCCGCCAACGTGGCCAGGAGGTTCTACCTGCCAGATGCCTTAGCGGCAACGGAAAAATACATTGTCAATAATCTCTGGAAGCTGCTGGACTTGGATTTGTCAGGACTGCTCGAGCTGAACTTCAGGTCTCTGCTAGCAGTGGTTCAATCACCAGATCTCCCCATGGTGAAAGAAACCCGCCTGCTGAATCTTGTGCTGCTGTGGCTGAAGCAGGATAAATCCAGGCTGGCTCACACAAGCGGCCTTTTAGAGCACGTACGATACGGCCTCATCCCGGTGGAAGAGCTGCGAAAAACCTACACGCAGTCAGAGGTGCCCCTCTCCGCAGGTATTAAGTGCTTGATCATTAAAGCAATAAACTACCATACATCTGTTTTCAAGCAGCCCGTCCTGCAGGATAAGTCCACCACGCTGAGGAACCAGAAAACTCAGATCATTCTGCTGGGGGGAGGGACAGCAAGCGAGGGGCTCGTCGGCGATGTGGTGGCCTTCGACGTTTACAATCACAAGTGGCGAGCTCTCACGCAGGTGCGGGACAGGGTGCAGAACCACAGCGTGTGCGTGGTGGGGAACTTCCTCTACGTCTTGGGTGGGGAAATAGAAAGCGGTGCCCCGGGTGACGCTAAAACCGAACAGATCTTATCGGTTACGAACAAGGTCCATCGTTACGATCCGAGGTTTAACACGTGGACCCAAATCACGGGCATGCTGGAAAAGAGATGCCAGTTTTCTTGTTGCGTCCTAGGCAAGGATATCTTTGCCGTTGGTGGAAGGGGTGAGGATGGGTCGCTGCATTCGTCTGTGGAAGTCTACAACATCAGCAGGGACAGATGGACGAAGGCCAGGGAATTGCCGTGCAAGATACATGGCCACGCCAGCGCCATTTGCAAGAATACTATATACATCTCGGGCGGCAAGTACTCGGACCCAGCCGACACAAGCAAGGACGTATATTCTCTGAGCTCGCTCGAAGGGCAGTGGATGAAACAAGCCCCCATGAGCATTGCCCGGTTTGGGCATCAGATGGCAACAATCAGAGAGGCCATATTCACCTTTTTAGGATTATATGAACCATTCTCTGAAATAGAAAGATACGACCCTGATCAAAACCAGTGGACTCGGTTAAGACCACTGACCTATGATCGCTTTTGCTACGGCCTGGCAGTGGTAGAGGAAACGGCTCTTCTTATCGGGGGAAAGAAATGGCAAAACTCCCGGGAAGTCCCCACGCAAGACGTGGTCGGCTACGACATCGACAACGATGGCTGGGAAGAGATCTGCAAAGCCCCCTTGCCTTGGTGCGGGCTGCAGTGCGCGGTGCTGCAACTCTCGGAGCCGGCCGACGAGCGGGACGGCGACGGCCAGCAGAAGAGATGGCTGAACTGCTGAGCTCGCGCGCTGCCGAATAACCACCCCAGGAGACGTGCCAGCAGGGAGGTCCTGGAGAAGAAGAAGAAGAAAACTGCAATGGCGCTGATCGGGACAGGGTGGAGGTTTTGCTTTGATAAGCCCAACGCTTGGTGGAAAAAAGGGAAGAAAGTCTGGCTCCAGTGTGGGAAAAGGTGCTGGGATTTATAGGGCTGGCAGCTGACCTCACTGAGGAAGGAGGTAGCAAGTAGCATGTTCAGAGGCGATGAACGAGAATCGTAATCCTTGACTTTTGAAGAATAATACCTAGATAGCAATTAATAGGTGTTGCAAGTCAGATTTTTCAAAGGTTAAAAAATATAATCCATCTTTTCTGTTTTTTTAATCAGAGGCAATTTTCCCAGCTGGTAAGTGCTATTGAATTTTTGTGCTATGGCTAAGCAAAATGAAAGTGAGCTGTATAAAGACTAGAAAATTGATGCCTATGAGAACTAATAATAAGTACTGCCAAGAAAAAGGTATTATTTGATATGCTACGCACTAGGCAAGAACGTCTTAGCTAACCAGCATGAAATTACTGGACAGAAAGCATGGATTTTTTGATACGTAGACTCAGTTATGGCCATGAGTTAAAACAGTGACTGTTTCATAGAAGCCGTTTCTCTCTCAGAAGCCTTGGTTGTAGCACGCCTTTCAGATGCTTATTTTGCCTTATTTTAAAGACGCACACTACCGGTACAGTACATTTCTTTTATATGCAAAAGCTTGTGTTTGTTCAGATGGCCACAGCTGAATGGATATACTTGTTATTAGACAGTAAGAAACATGTTACAGGAGTTGCTGTAACTAATGCCTGGACACTTACCTCGGTAGCATACACTGCTTTGTCCTACCTGCTCATAACGGTAAAATTGCTCATAGCTGTTGAACTGGTACATGAGAGAATCCTGCGGTCGAAACAGGTTTACTTTCATCAAAGAGTACGATGGGGAGGGTGGTAACCGAAGGTTTTCGGAAGTCTTTATTCAGTCTCTGCCTGTGTAGGAAACAGCAATAGTCTTACTTCTTTTTGGCCGTGTCGGCAGAGTTCGAAGGCACAGATTACGGGGGTACTTTAAGGTCCGCAGACCTGTGCAAGGCTGGCCAAACGGTCAGATGCCACAGAATCACTTTGGTATGGAGTAAACTGAATCTCGAGTCACACAACCATTCATTTAAAAGCTAAATTTATTGTACTTCATTTTACAGTGTTCCCTTTCTAGGCTGAGAGTTAATACAATAAAAATATATATAGAAGAACATTTAATAGTCTTAAAAGAAGGCAGCACAATGGATAGGACACATGTTCTTTGTCACTAGACTAGCTTAAAAAACTGTAATGTTTAATTTTCACCTTTAAAGCAATCAAGCTGACTTTACTAATGTAAAGTGCAGGCAGAATAGCTGTTGCATAGCAACAGATCTAAGTCTTCTGAACTGCCTTGGTTTTGACAAGGAATCAACTACACAATGTGCATATACATCCATCAGATATAAAGAGGTTTTTATATGAATATATTTACTTTTGGTCCAGTAAAACAAGAGCAAGAGAATCTAAATGCTTGGAACAATAGCACAATCCATTTCAAGTCAAGCATTTTTTAAGAGAAATTTACAAAAACCTCACAAATTTAATAATATACAAGTCAGTACCCATGCAGTAAATAAATGTCCAGTTTATACAAACAATATTCTTCTAATGGTACAAATATTACACTGGATTCAGAATTCTATACAAACGTCAATACATGATTTGTCATCCATACCGACTTGAATGTAGGATTGCTGAAAACGGGCTACAGAAAGGCCACTCTTCTGTACAATTGTGCAAAATCTGCAAAACATTTGCAATCCAAATGCAAGAAAGTACCAAGGAAAAAAGAGAGAAAGGGGGGGAGAAAGAGAAAAAGACAGGGGAGAAAGAGAGAGGAAGAGGGAGAGAAAGAGAGAGGAAGAAAAAGAAAGAAAGAAAGAAGGAGAGAGAAAATCAATCTGTCCGTTCTTTCCTTCATCCCTTCATGGATATAACTGCCAGGAAGTGTCAGAGCTCATACAGTTTGAAGTACATTCACTGAGCTGTACAGGCAATAGTCTAAAGTTGGTGAAGAGTACAACTCGCTGTAAAAAGTAAAAAGGAGGCTTTTCCCTTTCACATGAGCATTATTAAATCGCATTGTGAGTCCTAACTTATGCAGCAAAACACTGAAAAGCAGCAGAAATATTTTGTCATGCTCTGATCACTTTTCGAAAACAAGCCCGTAAAAAGTAAATATGTGATTTACGATTTCCGTCCCACTTTCCTATTCCAGGTATGTGCCTAACTCTACGGAGCTATTTCTACTCATATTCCCTGGGTTGTCTCCAGCACATCTCAAATCTCGTGGAAGTTTAAAACATTTTAATTGGCTTGTGAACTCAGCAGAACCCAGAGGCATCCCTTCCCCTTCAAAAGCAAACCAGAGGGTTTTTTTACTCCTTGGTTATTTTTCAGGTTCTGTGCTCAGCTCTGCTCCTATCGCACATTTTCCCTGCATATAATATGGCCAAATTTCACAGCTCAGAAAACACTTAGGAGGCTACTTGAAAAATCCTATTAATTCCTTTTCTATTGTGGGAATTTTCAAAGCCTCTCGGATTCGGAGCATTTCGTCGGGAACCTTTTCCACTGCTGCTTTTCTGGGCAAGAGAAACGCCACTCTCAAGGATGTCCAAAGGCTACATTTTCTCTTTTGCAAAATCTGCACATTATACTGATAGCTTCAGTACAAAAGCAGCATAAATGACAGTACCGTGACTAATTTTTTAAAAAATCAACCAAATGTGATTAAGAGACAAATAACACATAAATTGGTCTTGATTAGAATACAAACCAGCATCCCTTTGCACTGATGGTAAACCTTAGCAACAGGCTTTAAAAAAGCACAAGGAAGTAAGACCTAACATTTTGATACTTAAATTCACATTAGTCATTTCCGTCTGCGGATTTTCACCCTTTTGTGTGTTTGACAAAACTGAAACACAACCACTGCATTACGCTTTCCCCCTGTTATTTAAGAAAACTCCTAGAGTTTCTCATTAAATATAAAAATTGGTTTTCTCCCATCACCAAAATAGTACCTGCACTCCAAAAATGCAATGCAATACTGGAATTATATAGTATAAAATACCATTGTAAAAGTGACCTTCGATAGCAAAACATTTAGCTTGTAGAACTTCCTGCGTGAAGGCCACAGTCTTCCAAAAATGCTTTTAAATACTGCTCCTCAATAGCTAAAGATCATGTTCCTTATTTCACAGAAGGTAAACACAAGGGGAGCGTTGGTAGCATATAAAATATACAAATCCTCATTAAAGATGTGGTGTCGTTGACCATTGAAGGTTTACTTCACACAGTTGAGTAACATTAAAATATAATTTACTAGAGCTCCCACATATCGATATAAAAACTACTTTATGCACTTAAGTAAAGGAGTGTAGCAAATGGACAAAAAGAGAGACCTTCATACATGCGTTTCAATGTAAGAGTGAGTGTGCGCTAAGGAGGCTATAAGTGCATCGACCTCAGACGAGCCATTAACAGAGTCCCTCGGGGTGCTGCTTTGATAGATGTCCATGAAGAGATCGAGGTACATTTGTTTCCATTCCTGAAAGTCTCTAGACGTCAAAGCTGGATTATCCAGAACTTTATCTATAACGGCTACTTCTCCTTCCCTGGCCTGTGAGAGAAAAGGAACGAGCAAAGAGTCAATGCAAGTGGTGAGGCACCAGCAAAATCAATCCCACGGGTGGAAGGAGAGAAAGGTGGGGAGCAAACGCAAGCCCCGGAGCCCCTAAAAGCAGGGGGACTACCCGACCGCTCTAGGACCTCCTGCGAGCGGGACCCCTTCCTATCGGGCACCGCGCATCACCCCGCGGGGCCGGGGCTCCCCTCGCCTCGTCCGGCGTCCTCGGCAGCAGCCCCTCTCCCGCTCCTCGCCCCTCGTTCAGCTCCAGAAACAGCAAGCCCCCCACTGCTTACTACTAGCCGCCTGCATTTCTCAAGGCGGGTTTCTCACGGCAAAGTGCCATCTGTTTGCTCTTCTTGATCAGCCCAAGAAATACTGCGCGGGTGCATGGTCTGCGGCCGGACGGATGGCCACCCGCCAGCAGAGCTAACCCTTTTTTACCACCGGGTTTGTCACGGGGACATCCGAGCGCTTCCATCGCAAAGGCTTGCGCAAGGACCCCCGTGTTAATGGTAACTTGTCTTCATTAAAGATCCAGCGTATGCGATGGGCTGGCTGGCCGCAACCTCCTCCTACCACTGCGGTGGCAAAGAGAAGGCAGAAGTGGGTAAAAATCTGACATAGCTGCTGGTACCGCCTTACCCATCGTCGGGGCAGGGGATGTGGCTGTATCATAATCACTGGCCAGCGATTTGTTTATCGAGAGATGACAGGCAGCCGGTACGGATCAGAGCAAACCTCTGAGAAACGTTGCAAGCGGTGGAAGCTGGACGCAACAGACGTAAGCCTTGGAAAAACACCGCTCACGCAGGTTTCCAGCACCGCTCTGCTGCGTAGGGACAGTACGGTCACCAGCAACCTCCCCTCTATCCCCCCGGCCAGACGGGTTTCACACTCCTATTGCTAACTCACATTTTCCACGTCCATACTACAAGTATGTTAAATCTTTCCAGGGAGTGTGTTAAAGGGAAATATTAAGCTGTGTGAGCCCACATGGATGGGAGAGGATCAGAAGGGTCAGAGACACCACCCATAAGCAGCAGGTTGAAAGGCATTTTTCATGCTTTGCAAACAGCAGCTAATTAACATTATCTGCTAGAATACTCATTTTCAGAAACGGAGGTGCAAGCTGAGAATGACCAGTGGCAATGATACCATGGGAACTCCCAACCTGCACTACCAGCCAGGCAGCTCGTACTCACTGGCCAGAGAATGGTTTTGTGCTGCATCACAGGAGAGAGAGCAGAGGGGTCTTTCATTAAGGGACAGGGACCCTACGGACAACAAGAGCTAGAAGCAGGTTGGAGGGCTGTCTCAGGCTCCTATTAATTTGGATAAATTCAAGGAGGGTTCAGAACACCAACTCCAACAGGCCAGTGCAATTGGCTGCGTTCAGGAAGGAGAAATCACAGGCACTGATAAAAAGAAAGAATAACTGATTAGGTAACAGCAGTAGCTACCGGTAGAGATGACTACCAGGTGTATGGCAGGGGTGGAGCTCTGGGCTATAATGGAGCTAGAAACTTGTCATGAGTTACCATGATGCCATTGCAAAACAGTACATGTTGCTCTATGCAAGAAACAGCAATTATCTGTCTTTGGTACTTGCTGCCATTGCGTTTTCAATTATTGGTGTCATGTACTTTAAGGACGATTTATACCAATCAAGGTCCAAACAAGAATGGTGACAGGTTTAGAAAATATGGCTCAGGGACAGAAATTAACAAATTGTGCTTGCTTGGTCCAAAAGAAAGAAGTCCCAGTGAAGCACGAAAATGGGCATCTGCTGGGTCAAGAGGTTGCGCTGGTTTTGGAATTCCCTGGAGAAAGGCAACTCCATTTGTAGGAAGCTGTTGGTGTAACGTAGCTCAGATATCGATAAATGCTAACAACAAAGACATTAAGCACGGCAGCAAGCTGCTGATACTGAACGACAGTTTTGGTACGAGCAATCCCACCATGGTGCAAAAGCACAGGTACAGCGTGAACCTCCTGCCACTCCAAGATGTCTGAGAGTACTGTGATTTTGTTTCAGTTTCTCACGCTTGTAGAAGTCACGTGGAAAGCCTGTGTATCTTGACTTTTCCTGCCAGCCTCCCATCCTGTAAAGACTCACATACCCAGATAATACTACAAGTAGTAGTCGCCTTTCAATGAGATGATACAGTGCAGAAAGTTAAGCATGTGTAAGATTTTTTCAGGATGGGAGCCCCACAGCATGAAAATAATATTGCTTAAATGCTTCTCTAGGTGATGGAAAACTAAATTAATTAATGTTGATAAAGCCCTCTGATGAAAGCTGTTACAAAATCCACTGTACAATTATCTAGTGACTTAAAATGTGGTAATTTAATATAGTTAACAGGGTCCCTGGGGAAATCCAACATATTGTTTGCCAAAATCTCTATCAGGACAGAATTGAAACTGCTGTAACAAACAAAGAAGCTGACAGGGAGGCTAAATGAGCTGTGGTACATTTAGAATAACCATAAAAATCTTCAAATCTATCATTACCACTATCTATTTATTTAATCAATCCTACTGATTAAATACAATGATCCTATCAGCTTATGCAGAAAGCAAGCACACAGTTTTCTCCTGGACCAGCTCAGCAATCAGAAGATAATCAAGCGCTGTAGAAGGTACTGCTCCCTTCTGAAAGGCTGGCTGCGGTTAACTTTAGACTTCGGCAATTACGGAGTGAATGCATTTCAGTAAATGAAAATGTTCAGGGACAAAAAAGGGATTAAGGAGTCCTCTGATAATTTGCTATCAAATTCTGTTAAACTAGCTACAGGAGGAGCAGCTGACTGAGATTTTATCCGCACAAAAATAAAACCCGATCCCCTCACTTCCACTGCTCTCCCAAGGCACGTTTTTCTCTGCTTTGCGAACAGCGCTGCCCCACGTCTCCCTTGCTTGTTCCACACACTCGGTTCAGCCTGGACTCCAGCTGCGCAGTTAATCTCCGAATACAATACAGCCCGATCCAACCCTGGGGCAGGATTTTTCCGCCCTCTTTTATCTCACCTTTAAAGTGCTTTTCAGAATTCGCAGCTGGTGCAGTTTTTCATTGACTACTGGATCACTACATCTCTTTATAAAAGATTTCTTATACTCCAGCTTAGTGGAAATCCGGTGTTCTCCTAAAGGAGACAGGCTGGCCTGCTCCAAGGCTCTGTACAAATCTTGCAAGGAGTCTGCTGTTTTTTCCTCTATAGTTTCAACTGTAATGAGAAAAAGGAGAAAAAAAAAAAAGAGGAAAAAATAGAGAAAGGAACAATGTATCATTAACGTGATTATACGAAGATCTATCAAAAACCTTCGCAAAACATTTAACAGGTTTAACTAGACCATAAGGAGATTATTTCACACCTGCTAAGTTCCAGAAAAAAAGTGCTGCGATTGTAACTGCTCCTTCTTGCTGTTGCCTTCAGGAGAAAGGGGGGAAAACTTTCAAGAATGTAAAGCCTTGACCCACACGGAAATAAGAAAAAAGAAATAGCGCAAGGTGTAGTAATATTACAGTGACATACTGTCAGAAATCACATCTCTAGTACTGCAGTTAAATATGCTGGTGATTTTGTTATCAGAAGGAAAGGAAGCCCTGGCAGCATCCTGCTGAGGAAGATGATCAGGGATCGGATCTTGGCCTGAGAGCGCTGACAGGGCATTCAAAATTATGTTTATGATGGTGGCCTTGGAATGACATGTCATTTTCCTTCCTAGAGAAGTCCGCTCCTTTCTGTCTCTGATTTTTGACACTCAAGAGTGCTGTTCAGTAGTCAGCAATGCTGTCACTTGTGGTGGTTTTTACTCTACTATTACCCGCAGGTTCAGCAGCAGACTACAGACTGGACTCACTCATGACAGCCTACCCAGCAGCGCGGCAAACCAAACCAGAGCTGTTTGCATTAGAGGTTTATTTATTTATTTATTACAGGTTTAAAAATATTTGCTCTAACTAGTACTGGGAGCATTTTAAAGGAAAAAAAATGAGGAAACATTTTTCCGTCTCTAAAAACAAAGTCAAGCAAGGGCTGGGGCTGAAAAGTTACTCTGCTATGAGCATTTGAAATGCTTCATTTGGAAAGCATCGAAACATTTCAGCTTCTCACACACTGGTTTCCCCAGGAGACCCTGCCTGATGACTCCGTACGCACTTGGGAAGTGCCGGTGAAGTGCCAGGATTAGGTGGGCGGGAGCAGCCGGGGCAGCCCTGGGGGAGCAGCCAGCCTCCCAGTTGCCTCCAGTGCCCACGGGACCCCCCCACCCAGTCTTGGCTTTCATAGTGGTGTATGTTTTCCCGGCCCAAGGTGCCCGTGTCCTCAGGATGCTTTCAGGAAAGCTCTTGTAGGAAGGCTACAGTGGTTTGGTTTCCAGCATCGCTTTGACCCCGTGCCTGACCCTGCACCAAGACATAGCCGCCTGCACCGGCTGAAAGGTCAGCACGTGCTGAAGGACCCGTAAGTACTGAACCTCAGTCCCCTCAGGTGTTTAGAGGGTTTTTTAATCGAGCACCGGCAGGGAGGACAAAAGTGGTCAGAAGGGACATTTCTAGCCCCCCAGGAGCTTCCCGAGGCGACCTCCCATTCGAGCCCATACCATGCAGCGCGGCAGCTACTCACCTCGGGCTCAAGCAAGAACTCCAGAGACCCCAACCTCCACACCCCGGCACAAAAAGCGTTGGCATTTGTATAACCTTTACACAATCAAAGAATTTTGCAGTCATCAACTAATCTAGCTATAACTCCCCTCAGTTTATTCCTTTGCCCTTGTTAGGGGGTAGCTGTTTTTAAAGCACTTATTTTTTTTCAAAGAGATACAGAGGTGAAGAAAGGTTGGAGGCTTTTTATTGATGCGTCTGTACAGAGCTCCCTAAATCCCCCCATCATGTGCTGCCCTGCTTGGCGAGCGGGGTTCATCACTGTCAGGGGCGGGCAGGACTTAAAAGAAAAACAGAAATGAGATGCATTTCTCTTCCTTGTCGATTTCTTTCCCACTAAAACATCTAATGTGCTAAAGGGCAAAACATTCAGTAGCTGAATACTTAAAGATTGGTTAAAATCCCCCATGGTCTTGATTTCAACGCTTTCTTAAAACGTCCATGCAGCAAGGAGATCAGATATTTGGGATGTCTCTATCAGTTCATATCGCTGAAGCCTGAAGTCCACCAGTCTGACAGCTGGGGAATGGGAGTGATTTGCTAAAGGGCAAAGGGAAAAAAACCACCTCCATCTGACACGGGAGCGCTTTACATCTGTTTCTCTCTTTCTCTTATCCTTTGTTGTACAAGGCAAAAAAGATCTTTCCTCGGGTCTCTTTTCCCCAGCAGCCTTGCCCCGTTGTACCCTCAGGGGACAAGCAGAGGGACAGTCAGCTGAAGAAGCAAGCCGGCGCTTTGACTCCACGTCATCTGGATTTACTTCGCCGGGGCGATGGAGAGCCTGGACCAGCAACCCGCCACCGCACCCGCCATCGAAACCCCGCGGCTTCCTAAAACACTGACAGTCCCCACCATGGCGAAGGACGACGGTCGGGTTCTGCCCCGAGGTTCGATCCTGAACAAGTGCCGTTCACGAACCTGGAAGGCAGCACGGCCGGGATTTGGGTCGCCCTCCCTCCCCGCGCCGTGGCCGATGCTCCTCGGGGCTGCGGACGAGGGATTTCTGCCCTCGGCCCCAAAAGTGGAACACGGCTGGTCTTTGACAGACGTCGGCACATCGCCTCCCCCGGGCTCTGTCGCGGTGCCGTAGCTGTGAGCGGCGTGGAATAAAGGGGGTTTGCTATAAAGGAAAGAGCAGGGAAGGGAAACAGCGGGTCCCGTCCCTTCAACGTCTCACTGCTGCTGAGGCTGGGGAAGGTCCAACCGGGCGAGACGCGGGCTCGTTCCACCCACGGCGGGGGAGAGGGCAGCGGGCGTCACGCTAACACCTCCCAAGCCCTTCGTGTTTTCCAGAGAAACACCGAAAGCAGTGGGACTGCTGCTCTCAGTGGCGCTCAGTAGGTGGGAACGAGATTATACACGACTCTCCCCTCCCTCACCATTCTGCTAAAGGCTTTGATTGATTTCCCGGAGGTGTCGGTGAAACCCTTGGCACCATGAAGCATCTGAGGTACTCGGTTAGACGTACAGCTGAGCTTAAAACATATATATTCCTTTTTTAAACTGGTGGATTTGTATGTCAGTCCTGCTACTACAGCAAGGCTGTCTCCTTAAGGAAGAGGAAGGCCTCAGGTAATGCCTTGTTTAATCAGAAAACGTGGCCTAACGGGATTTGCAGGTGACCTCGGAACAGCAGCCAAGGCAGCAGGTTGTTTTTCACCCTCACATGGCTGCCGAGTCACGGGTTGCAGCTCCCATTTCCCTGAACACACTGTCAGGTAGCTGTTTCCACATACTGCTAAAATGGAGGGTCTTTTCTCTGAAGCAATAATTTTGTCCCCTGCCCCTACCCAAGCCTGAACAAATCTCTGCCTCTGGAGCAGAAATAAAGGTGCATAAACTCGGGAGCGCACAAGACCTAAATTCAGAACCGTATCTTCCAAATACATGAATACACAGGTACTAAATCTTGTAACAGTGAAGCTTCTGCTGTGGCTTCAAGTGAATGGAAAGCCACTTGCATTAAATTCAGGAGATAAAGAATAAATCAGTCTAGTAAACGGTGTGTTATTATTTTTCATTATTCTGCTTCCCACAAGGAAGAGTTTCTGAACGTCTTGTACTTTGCCCTCACTTCTTAAAATGCAGTAAACAGCTGTATCTACTCTTACATTTTCTCAGGAGAGAAGAGCTGGAGATTGTGGCCGGATGGGTGAAACTCAGGAGGTCAGGAATGGTTTGGGTTGTTGTTCGGGAAAAACTGTGCTGTCATTTATTGTTGAAAAAAGCGTGCGCTGAGCTCCACATGTACTGACTGTAACCACCTCCTGGCCCTGTTGAGCTATTCATCTTTCCATTATTTCCCTCTTACAAACCAAGGTCCTAAGAGCAATAAATAAGAACATCAGGCACTTGAGTGAAAAGTGACTAGGGAGAAACAGTTAGCATTGGTATTTACATGGATCAAGAGATGATCGGTGCGTGTAAACTGGTCATTCAGGAATACAGTACTGAATTAGGGCCACGCAGAAGGTCACTGTTGCAAACCCAGCTGGCTAACACATTGCACTCTGGGCTCAGAGACTCTCTAGCCACACACTTCTCATAAATCTGCTCTAAATATATGGCACAACCTCTAGTAATTTTCTGTGGAGGTTCCTGCGGTTCTGTGACTCACTTTCCCGGTAAAAGCTCAAGCCACCAAAAGCTTCCATGGTTTTTCTCTTTCAGTGAGGTACCAGAGGAACCAGGGATTGCACCCGGGGCTATGAGTGCACATAGCATCCTGCCCATGGCAGGATAGTACAACACAGTTAATCATGAATTTTGTCACCTGCTGTGCTGAAAAGGTCAGATTTTTCAAGGGTTGAAGCTCTCCTTTGAGGCCCCTTTGCGCTTCGCCAGTGCCTCCCAACACCACCCAGCTCATCCCGTTGTCTTTAGACTTCTTGTCCCGGCTGACGGACACCGCTGCCGCCCTGATGGTTTTCTGTTTTCCCGCTCTCCTCTTTGCTCTTTGCTACCTTTACAGCTTAGTGACGTGCTTTCCTTTGCTGTGCAACTCCTCTCACGCATGCCCACTCCTCTACTTGCAATTAGCCCTGCGTTCAAACAAAATTACCACTCGCTGCAAATCCTGAGAGCCAAGCTGCTGCAAAGCCTGCGACAGAGAGCGAACAAGGCACAGTCAGACTGAAATCCCCTGGCTCCACTGAAATTTAAACTCCCATTTTCATTCCTTTTGGTGAGCTCACTCTCTCTGGCAGAGGAACCAGCTCAGCTCGGCTTTCTCAGGATCTTAAGGAGGCAATTTTGTTAGAATACATCGCTAATTACGTTATTAAACAGCTGCCTTATGTTATTTCCCCCCTACAAATCCCAAAGATTTGCCTCCAATTTGAGAGCCCCACCTTTCTGCTTCACCTTTCGCACAGGGGAGGCATCGACCTGACGCCTCCCAGAGACTTTCTGCGAGTGTCAGTAAACGCTCCACCAAAACAGAGAGCATCCCTGGCCTCTGGGAAACGGTCTCAAGCTAGATAAACCGGGCCCTGATGCACAAATCCCTGAGTTGTTTTCTTTTTTTTTTTTTCTTTGCCTCCTTGACCCGGCTGCATCTAT